GGACGGATTACCCAACAAGCAAGTTATGCATGAGTTTAATTGTACTTACTTAGTGCACAATTTCACCTGAGTTTCACCACATCAAAGATGTGCACTCCAGATTAGTAAGTAAGCACATATTAAGCCCTGCATACTTTGCTTTCTGTAAACTGGTGCATACTGTACTTATTGGTTAATCAGCCCCCAGTCTGACCACATATGCTTCTGTGGCTCTGGATGTGGGCTCTTGGGCTTTGTCCAGCAGGCTGTGGTGGGGGCTGTGGAGCCAAAGCTGCTCCTGCTCCTCAGGCAGGTGGAACTGTGGATGGGACTGGGCGTACTCTGCTCACTCCTCGCTGGCTTTCTCTATCTCCACTCCACTGCCCTCTCAGCTGCTGCTGCTGCCCATTTCTCTGGCCTCCAACAGCCACTCCAGCAGCAGCAGCAGCAGTAGCAGTGAAGATGATGGGAAGTGGGCTCAAATAAAGTTTTAATATAATATGCTTTTTGAGTGTTGATTTGTAACTATGGGTGGCACATAAGTTGGACGTTCATAACTTGAGGACTGCCTATATATAATATGGTGTTCGCAGAATGACCAAATCACATAATGTCTTATTCCACAGAATGTATCATTGACGTTAAGCAATGCATGACTGTAGTTAAAACACCTTCTGGAAATCAGGCAATCAGTAAAGGTATTATTGTTATTAGTTCTAGTGAGAAGAGGAGGAGGAATTGAGAATGTCGGTGTGTCTAACCTTAATCATAAATCTGTAGCTTGATGACAACAAGGGCTGTCATGCACTGAGCCAAGGGTTTCCCACAGAGCAGTTTAATCTTTGAATAAACCTTTGATTGCAGAGTCATTTGTAGGGGCCAGTGAGATGGCAAATTAAGCAGTAACTCAGAGAAAAGAAGTGAAACAATGAGGACAGAGTAGAGGAAGTGATCCAAGTGCTATTTTTGAGATAGCATCAAAAAGAAGTGGTTCAAAGTGTGATCTTTTGACCTTTTCTAATCAACCTCCAATACCCTATATTCCAGATAATCCCCCAAATCTCCATTCTTAATTGTGCAATGACTGCTGGCTGAGAAATGGGATGAACGAGAAGTTGAGGGCAGTAGTGATTCAGTGGTAGAATTCTCCCCTTTCATGTGGGAGGCTGGGTTTCCATTCCCAGCTCATGCATGTCAAGGGCAGCCACCATCTGTCAGTCAGTAGAGGCTTGCATGTTGATATGAGGTTGAACAGGTTTTATCGGAGCTTCCAGACTACCACAAACTAGTAAGAAAAGCCTGTCAATCTACTTGCTGTTTACTGATCTCACTTTTAGTGGCTTTTCCCTAATGCCCAACTCCAGATATAACCAGGCCGTACCACTGCTCTTTTGCCCTGTCTGTGATGGCCACTCTCATGCAGTACCAGCTTCTCCAAACCTTTTCTGCCCGTAAAAGCTGCTTCCTGCAAGCGGTTTCCTATAAGAAGCTTTCCTTGGTGCTCGGCTTATTGGCTTTTTGCCTTTTCCCTGTTGAGAGAAGAAAAATCTGATCAATAAGTCATTTAGAGTTAAAAGGTGGTATTGGGTGGTAAAAAATCTGGGAACTGGGAGCACCCCTCTAAAGAGATGTTCTCATTAAAATTTTCATCAGACTATATACATTACAAACTGTTAGGGAATTTCCCAAAAAGGAAATTTAAGATGATTGGTTGCCATTGACTTAATCAACAGGAGTCCGCTTGGACTGGTTTATTAAATTTGTATGTCTACATTACGTAGGGTAGTTATGGCTTATCTAATTATTAAACTTTTCCCAGAACTGTCTTTATCATGAGTTTTTAAGTTGTTAAGGGTTAAGAGTTAAGTTTTAACAGGGGAAGACATTTTCTTTAACACCCTGTTTACCTCCCCAGGTGTAAAAATGAGGTTGAGTTGGTGACTGACCTCCTCTTAACTTCAAAAGGAGGAAGAAGACTCAAGATCAACAGTCCAAGCTGATTCCTATGGGGCGGAGGTCAGACATACCTTCTCTCTCCACCATCTTTATCAGTTTTGACACCAACTGTCCCTCCCATGGCACTCTCTACTACTCTGTGGGTTCGATAATTTATTGCAATGGCCACATAGAACTCACAGACAATACTCACAATTATGGGGTTTATTAGGGAAGTAACAGGTTACAGTTCAGGTTCAGGAACACTTGGGATACAGCTCTTCCATCAGGACAGCCTCTTTTCAGCTGTGCTCACAGGCACACCTCTCTCTGGCCCTAGGCCTCTGCCCTGCTCAGGCAAGTGTTCCAGAGCTCTTTTAGCCCCAGCCAATAAGTCCTTAGAGGCATCCCAGGCACTCAGCTTTCTTGCTACATGGTCCGGGAAGCCCACTGCTCGGTCTCCAGCCAGTCTCTCCTGCAACTTCTCCTCTTCAGGGTTACAGCTCACTTTCTCTCTCTTTCTGTCTCCTGGTTCCAGGAACTTTTCAGCACAGGGATTCCAGGTCCAAAGGACATGCTCTTTGTTCCTGGCTGTTCTTCCTTGGTGGTGGTAGGATCCTCTCTTTCTCCTCTCTGAGGTGGCTCATTTCAAGCCCAGCAGATGGCAGAACTGACCAATCCCTTTGGTGGGCCACAATTACCCTATCTGCACAGTCCCGCCCAATCACTTGGGTGGGAGTTACAAGACTACAGGAAGAAAGGCCACACAAAAGTGATCCATTGCACCGCACCAGGATTGCATCTTTTCTGTACAGACACTTGAACTCCCACTTGTCTATTTGCAAACTTTTTCCTTTTTTTTCAATATAGTCTTTAAAGGGTGTGACCATATTAATTTGCTGCCCAGCCTGCTGAAAGGAATTTGTTCACTGTGCTAAAAATAATCAAAACTTACTGAAATTGGAACATAAGTTTTATTCTGAGCAGTTATTCTACATGCATATAGGGGAACCATTTTGTTTCCAGAAAAAGCAAATGGCTCAAAAAAGCTAGGTATGTTTAAGCTTACAAAGAGAAGAGGGAGGAATATGGAAGATCAACCATTGGGTAATCTTGAATTTGTTGACTAAACCCTGTCTTCCCCCCTTTACTGAGATCAACTGACATCAGGTTACTTCTGGCCTGGCTGCTAATAATTTGGCCCTCCACCTCCCTGCAGCCATGAGACTTTCTGAGATTTAAATTAGGAGGTAATGGTTTGACAACTATCCTTTTCTACCAGGATAAGACAAATTTAAAAGTTGTCGAGGATTTCATTTTACTTGGATCCACAATCAATGTCCATGGAAGCAGCAGTCAGAAAATCAAATGGTGTATTGCATTGGGCAAATCTGTTGCAAAAGATCTCCTTAAAGTGTAGAAAAGCAAAGATGTCACTTTGAGGACTAAGGTGTGCCTGACCCAAGCCATGGTGTTTTCCATCGCCTCATATGCATGTGAAAGCTGAACAATGAATAAGGAAGACCAAAGAACTGATGCCTTTGAATTATGGTGTTGGTAAAGAATATTGAACAGACCATGGACTCCAAGAAGAACGAACAAGTCTGTCTTGGAAGATGTACAGCCAGAGTGTTCCTTGGAAGCAAAGATGGTGAGACTTCGTCTCACATACTTTGGACATATTATCAGGAAGGACCAGTCCCTGGAGAAAGACATCATGCTTGGTAAAGTAGAAGGTCAGAGAAAAAGAGGAAGACCCTCAACGAGATAGACTGACACAGTGGCTGCAACAATGGGCTCAGATATATCAATGATTGTGAGGATGGTACAGGACTGGAAGTGTTTCATTCTATTGTACATAGGGTTGCTATGAGTTGGAACGGACTCAACTGCACCTAACAACAGCAAGAAGACAAATTTACATGCTGTAAAGCAGTTTTTGACAGGCTTTTACAGTTTAGGTCAAGCTTCTTATGGTTAATATTTGGTTTTGTAAATAACGAAAACCTTAAATTCAAAGTAAGATGTCTGTTATTAATTTTCCTATTCAACATCTGCCATGTTTTTCTTGTAAAGCTAAAGCCACTGAAAATCTATTCATTTTCTACAGAGGTCGGAGAGCCAGGAAACCAGACAGTTTTGGTGGCTTTCTGGTCTTCCAGGCCATCCCTGACTTGTGTTGTTGTTGGGTGCCATTGAGTGGATTTTCAACTCATAGTGACCCCATGTGACAGAGTACAACTGTCCCTGATAGTCACTTTTGAAAAAATTGGCCAGTGAAAACCTTATGAATAGCATCAGAACATTGTCTGATATAGTGCCAGAAGATGAGCCCCTCAGGTTGGAAGGCACTCAAAAAATGACTGGGGAAGAGCTGCCTCCTCAAACTAGAGTCAACCTTAATGACATTGATGGAGTTAAGCTTTTGGGACCTTCATTTGCTGATGTGGCAGACACAAAACGAGAAGAAACAGCTGCACACATCCATTAATAATTAGAACATTGAATGTACGAAGTATAAATCTAGGAAAATTGGAAATCATCAAAAATGAAATGGGACGCATAAAGATCGATAGCCTAGGCATTAGTGAGCTGAAATTGATTGTTATTAGCCATTTGAATCGGACAATCATATGCTGGGAATGATAAATTGAAGAAGAATGGCATCATATTCATCCTCAAAAAGAACATTTCAAGATCTATTCCAAATTACAGCGCTGTCAGTGGTAGGATAATATCCATAAATTTCCAAGGAAGACCAGTTAATACAACTACTATTCAAATTGACTACCAACCACTAATGCCAAAGATGAAGAAATTAAAGATTTGTACCCACTTCTGCAGTCTGGAATTTCGGTTAGCGTCTGGCCCATTAAACCCTTAACCATTGTGCCACAAAAAGAAAAAGAAAAAAACCCCACAAAACAAAACAAAAGACCCCGGCCCTTTACGTTCTGTACGGCTGGTTTTCTAATATGGCCGCCTCCAGAGAAAGAGAGCTATGTCCAAATGGGCGCAGACATATTATCGCCTAAGAGCATCTGCAAAGGACCCTACCTGTGCTCCTTTAAAGTCCCAAACCCTTGCCGGCCTCCGTAGACGGACAAAGATTCTGCGCGGGGGGTCGAAAAGTAGAAGGACTTCACGGAAGTAAAGGCAACTTTTTGGAACGCGTAGTGGTGTGGAGAAAACAGGTCCGTGTGTGTTTTAACCTTGGAACTGGGCGACGGCGGTGTGTGGATGTGGTGTCGTGAGGGCACAAGGAGTTCCTCAGGCGAGCGCTGGGGTAGAGGTGTTTGGGGGAAGCAGGTGGGAGTCCGGTTCCTTTGGGATCAGACATGGGGTGAGCGCTTTAGGACAACGATTCAGGCTGTCCTGTCAGAATAGGGGGGCTTGCGGATCACTCTGCTTGTAAGGGGTGGACGTGGTATTTAGGATGAATGCGGTGTCTGGTTCGGGTTCGGGATTTAATGTGGGGCTCAGTGAAGTTGGAGCTGGGGATGGACATCGTAGGGATGTCCGGTCTAGTCTTCGCCTTAATAAGGGCGTGAGGGTGGTCTTGTGTCTGTGGTACAGAGGCTCGTGAGGACGAAACTTTAGAAGCCCGGGACCCCTGGAACCTCGGCTGCTGGAACAAAAGGCGGTTTATTTCCCGAACAGTAATTGGAAAACCTTGGTTTAATCAAATATTTTCATAATATATATTTTCTCCGCTCATCCAGTAGTTGGCCAACTACTGACGGAGGGACTAATCCACCAGGCCGCCCATCGGTCTAGGGCTGCTTTCGAGCTGCAGAAGTAGAGGTGAGTCGTTGTGTGGGAGAACTTTTGGCCCGCAAAGCTTTACATGCGTGCACGCTTTCTGCTACTAACAGAATCGCTGTTTTAATTATTTATCTTCTGGCAAGGTGTGCCATGTTCTAGTTTATTAGTAAGTCCTTGTGAGTCCAGTTCCAGTTCCCATTGGTAGTGTTAGGAATGGCATGGAGATAAGCTCAGGTATGTGGAGCAGTTCTACCCAAGTATGTACGTAAAATGGAAACACTAGTGGCGTAGTGGTTAAGAGCTACAGGTGCTAACCAAAACGTCGGCAGTGCGAATCCACCAGGCGCTCCTTAGAAACTCCGTGGGGCAGTTCTGCTCTGTCCTATAGGGTTGCTATGAGTCGGAATCGACTCCGGCAGCGGGTTTGGTTTTGGTTATGTTCGTAAAAGCATTCGACTACTAGCCGAAAGGTCTGAGGTTCGAACCCACTCAGAGGAGCCTTATGTTTCAGGCGTGCGGTCCGTTCTGAAAGGTCACAGCCTTGAAAACTCTATGGAGCAGTTCTGTTCTGCACACATGGGGTCGTCATGAGTTGGAATCAACTCAATAGCAACTACCAATAACAAAAACAACAGGTATGTGAAATATCTGCTCATTGGTTCCTAGGAGAGCATTTTCTCTTAAATAGGTAATTCCTTCAATCTCTTTTTCCAGGTAGATGATCATATTGTCTGAAAATAACCTTAATTTTTTGTCCATCCTTGTAATGTTTATATATTACCCTTATGATGCACTGGCTCAGTTCTTCAATATAAAATGGATAAATAGGTTGGTAGTTTTTGGTACATCTTTGTTTTGTTGCCTATTCATAAAATTCACTTCTATATTATCTTCCCAGGAGGTGGGATCATAAAATCATGAATTCATGCAGGACTTTAAATTTAATGACATAATGAAATTTGTAGTAGTATTTGTTGATTTTATCTGGGTCATTTCTCCCATTAATTCCTTATACTCATTATTTGCGCCATTTCATCTTTTGATCCATCTCACTCTGAATGTGTATATTTTATTGGTCTTATCAAAGAACAAGCTTTTGGTGTTTCTGGGTTTTTCGTTTTGCTTTTGGTATTTTTGAGCTCCTCCATTCCTTTAATTTTTCTACATTTATCTTTTAAAAAAATGTACAATTAACTAGTATAACTAGCATATATACATGTAACTAACCACTGCCCAGGGGAAGAAATAGAATATCGCCAGCACCCAGGTGGTGCCTTTGCTCAATCAGATCCAAACCTCACACTCCAAGGTCATTACCATCCTGCGGTCTATAGCAAGCACTTCCAGGCTTTCCTTTATAGTTTTCCCAGGTATTTAATTGTTCCTAATCATTATAACTTTTTAAAAATGTTAATTTATCGTGTTTTCAGTGAAGGTTTACACAACAGTTTCGGTTCTCATTCAACAGTTTCTACACAAGTTGTTCAGTGGCACTGGTTACATTCTTCACAATGTGTGAACATCTCATTATTCCCGTTTTGGTTATTCCCTTTCTATTAATCTAGTTTCTCTAGTCATTTTAATTTATTTAGTTTTGCCTATTTTCAACTGAGTATAAATGGAGTTGTATATAATCAATTTTTTTAAATCAGGATTGGTTTGCTCGGTATTTTATTTCTGAGAGTCAGGCACGTTGTTACACACAGCTGTATTTACTTTGCTCTGTAACCGAGTTGGCAAACTTACTCTATGAATGGTTACATAGTAAAAATTTTAGGCTTTTCAGGCTGTATAAATTCTCTCACATAGAATTCCTTGCTGCTTTGTTTTGTTTTTTGACAACCCTTTATATAAATGTCGAAATCGACTCAACGGCAACAGATTTGGTTTTGGCTATATAATGTACAAGACATTCTTAGCTTGCATGCTGGCCAAAAGTTTGAGTTGCTCTGTAGCATTCCATTGTATGAATATGGAGCATTTTTTTCTATTATTAATGTACACTTGGGTTGTTTGAAGTTTGGACTAGTACACATAATGCTTCTTTGAAAATAGTGGTGCATGTCTTGTGGTTCAAATGTACACTCATTATAGGGGGATATGTACCCAGATGTATCCCTCAGACTAGCGCTCAACTGCTAGCCAATAGATTGGTGGTTCGAACCCACCAGTGGCTCTGCGGGAGAAAGATGTGGCAGTCAGCTTCCATAAAGATTACAGCTTTGGAAACCGTGGGGCAGTTCTCTTCTGTCCTGTAGGATTGCTATGAGTCGAAATTGAATCGACGGCGCTGGGTTTTTGGTTTTACACCTCAGATTCAAATTGTTGTTCCAAAATGTATATATAACTTCAACCTAATAGATGGTGCCTAAGTGTTTTCTGGAGTGGTTATTTCACTTTACAGTTCCTCCAGCAGAATAGTCTTCACTTTATAGTGATTTATGTGGTATGTGTATAATGTTTCCATGGCCTAATGTAAAGTTATCTTCTTAAAGCTTTATTGATTTGCCATTCTCATGGAGAGTTACAGTTGACCCCGAATTGATAGTTTTGTATTTTGTGAGGTAGGGATAAAGCTTTTTTTTTTTTTTTTTACATGATATTTGATTGTCCAAGTGCTATTTTTTTGAAAAGCCTTCTTTGGCCCATATCTCTGCAAATTCTGACTCTTTAAGTTTAATTGCCCATGGATGTAAAATGTTTTGGGGCAAGAAATAAAGGGACAGTCAGCAGTATTGGGCACCTTGTGTTAAGATGAGTGCCAGGAGCACTGACTGCATCTGGGCCCAGAGGTACTGTATCACTCACATTGAATTTTCTCTTCAGCCTACAGGTCCTGACTCCTCAGCAACAAGTGGATCACTTGAAAGGAGGAAGAAGTTGCAGGATTTGTGTATTGTCATTCCTGGGGACAACCTTCACATGAGACTGAGATTCCTGAATAGACATTTAGAGCTGATCCAGAAAGCACAAAGACAGAGAATCCCAGTTGCTGGCATTGTCCCAAGCACAAAAGAAAATGATCGAGGCCCAGGTGACTTTGGTTGGTTTTATGCTTTCCTTTGTCCCCTGCTGGATTTATAGAGGCCTGTAAAATATCAGTGCCGTTTATCTCAAAAGTATACACTTGGAAATGTAGGAACTGGAGAGAAATAAATTTAGACTCTGATTTAAACATCTGACAACATAGGATCAGGAATATGTATATTTCATAGGATTGACACTAACGTACTTCCTTGGTTGTGGGCAGGATTCAGTTCCATGAGGGCCTTATTTCCTTAGTGTGTGTTGGCCAGAGGCAGCCCTCACTTACTTGCCATGTGGGCTTCCTCAACATGGCAGCTTGCTTCATTAAAACCAGCAAGACGGAAGTAACATCTAATACGTATCACAGAATGACATTCCATCACCTTTGCCACAATCTGTTAGACAGGAGGAAGTCAGTAGGCCGGCCCGTTCTAAAGGAGAGGGGACTGTACAAAGGTGTGAATATGATCATGGGGCTGTTGTGGAATCTGCCTGCCACATGTCTTTCATTCAGTAAACAATTATTTTTGAGTGCAGAGTGAGATCTTTCGTTATTGCTTCTCCCTTGCACCATTTTCTCTTTCTGAAGTTATGGATAGTCATATGTTAGACGTTCTCATTCTATTCATTTTTACTAACCTCCTATATGTTCTTTCTTTCTCTTTGCTATATTTTGTATAATTTCTTCTGCTGTATGTTACTGTTGACAGGTCATCTGTTTTAGTGTATTACATATGCTGTTGTCTGTTAATATACATACATGTTTTTGTATATCTTTTTGTGTGTGCATATTATTTATTTTTCCCAAATCTGCCTAATCATCTTGTGTCTTGTCCTTTAGACATTTTGGATAGTTTCTTTCATTCTTGCACGTATACACACTTACTTAACGTGTACTTTCTTGTAATTCTGACATTGGCATCTTTTCACTGTAGATTCTGATATTGGCTGTGAAGACTCATGTTGAATGTAGGAATATATTTTATTCTCCCGACGTCACTAGCATTTATTTATCTCTTAGCAAATAGGTGGTCAAATGCACACACGTAGGTACACATGTATATACATATACACATGTATATACACATATGTACAGATATATATCCACTCTGTGTGTGTGTTTGTGTGAATGTGATATTTCCAGCTTACTGGATTTCACCAGTACACTTTATAGAAACATCTGCTTTGATGAATGGATGGTTGACTGAATGCACAAATATAGAATATTTTGTTAGGTTTTAAAAAAAAAAATAGGCATATCGATGTAGCAGCCTACATAGAGGAAATGAGCGGAACTGCTGTCCTGAACCTTCATCCATATCATTGAAAGGAAATCACCTCATTAAATAGGACCCTGTTAATACAGGAATCACTGGCATTTGAGGATGTGGCTGTGAAGTTCACCTGGGAAGAGTGGCAGCTTCTAGACCCTGCTCAGAAGAATCTGTACCGAGATGTGATGTTGGAGAACTTCAGAAACCTAGTGTCCGTGGGTGAGGACAGCTCCCCTGTGTCACTCAGCCTGTCATTGGCTTTTCCTTTCTCAGCTGCTGAAACCTCTGGAGTGTCTGTGGGCCTCTGAAGTGGTGGATTCTCACTGTATTCTCTGGCCCTGGATAAGTGGGTATCTTTTCCCTACTCCTGAGAGAAAAATCTTTACTTCATATGTTTGAAAATTGTTTTGTCCCATATGTATCATTCTCCAGTCATCACAAAGCCAAGGCCAATTTAGTATGTCTAAATCTTCTGTCATTTCCCATGAGCAGGGTATCAAGTTACCAAACCAGATGCACTCTCCAGGTTGAGAAGAGGAGAACTGCCATGGAGTATATTAGATGAAATCGATAGTCGAAACTTTTTAGGTGAGTGAGCAAAAACCACCAAGGGAGTGGACTGTGGAGGTCACATTCTAGTCAGAGTCACACAGCTGTGAGTCGTGTCTAAGGATACATTAACAGGCTTCCGTGTATCCATCTTCCCATGTGAGACCTCATTTTCTTTGTAGGAGTTTAGAGAAATATATACCTCTCTGTCTCTTCTGAGAAAGGATCCCTTTTTATTTGATCAATATCTTGATATTTTTGGTAGTTTTATTCCTAGGACTTTTAAATCTTTGCCATCTTCATATCCTCTTGTAATGTTCTAGTAGCGCCTAAAGTCCTCTTACTTCAGGATGAGGAGAGAGAATCACCATCAGCACAAAGCTGATTCTTATGAGGTGAAGGTTGACATACCTCCACTCTGCAACTTCCGTCTAACACCAGTCATGCCCCCCGCGGCACTCTCTACTTTTTTGTTGGGTTTAATAGTGCGTTGCAATGGCTACACAGAACTCACATACCATACTTCCAGTTAAGTGGTTTATTAAGGAAGTCACAAGGTACAACTTGGGATCAGGGTTAGCAGGCTACAACTTGCAATCAGGACCGGGAAACATGCAGGCAAAGTCTGGAAGGCTTCCTTGAAGTGGAGAGCACATCTCTTTTCTTCAGTGTAGGACATGTCCTCTTGGCCGTGCAAGCAAGCATGCCCTTCTCTTTGTTATGCATGTCCTTTCAGACCTCTCAGGTCTTCTCTTGGCCGTGCATGTCCCCTGTCTCCCTTGCAGGCCTCTCTGCCTTCGGCCTTCCTGCCATCAGGCTCTCCACTGCTACCCGACCCAAGTCAGTATAGTGGCTTAGTTTAGCACTCTGAGCTGCATTCCTAGCAACAGGTTTCTGCCATCACCACAGACTCTGCAACACCATCATCACTGGCTCTGCCTCAATACCTGTTACAGGCCTCTGACAGTCTTCAGCATTACAGCTCTTGACCTGTGTTAAACGCTCTTTTATGAGATTCCTTGTCTCCTCTCTTTGCTTCTCTCTTGTCGCCTCTCTTGCCTTTTATCTTTCTTCTTTCTGAAACCTCCGTGGGGTTGGCTGCCTATATCAGTAAACTCCTTGTCAGTCTTAAGGCATGGCCCTCCCCACAAAGCCAGGAATTGGCCAATCCTCTCTGTACCATATCCACTTCATTTGCATAGCCTTTAATCACTTCATTTCCATAGATGATAATATATTGACCAATCCCTGCAAGGTGCATAAATTGACCAATCACAGGTGAGGCTGTAGCCCAGGACCAGACAAAAAGTGTCAAACCATTAAGTTGTTTACTGCCTACCTAGGAAATGTTAATCAACCTGGACAAAAGTAACAAACTCTCTGGGGTAGAAAACTAGGGCAAAGATAACTCCTCAAGGCTTGGGAGAAAAATCTCTCAAGCTGTTTTTCCAGAGAAACAAGGCAAAAGCCACATGATGGAACTCACTTCACCACACCTCTCACCTTCCTTGCTATGAAATTGTACCTTCTATGCCTCTCTGCGAAGAGAGAACTTTGAATTCATAACTGTCCTGTGAGTATGGCACCTTCATCCCCAATTGGGTAATACTGATTTCCTTTCCTGACTTCCATCCCCACCTTGGGTATTGTGTCCCACAGTAAACTGCCTCTCACTGTGCCTTTGTCTGCTTCCTAAGCTTTACTTTTCCTCTATTCTGAGGTTCTCCAAAGTTTGTAATTTCCATTTGTTTCTTTGTTCTCCTAACCCCTTAAAGTTTCCTTCAGTCGACTGAGTGAAGCTCCTTCTGTTTCCTAGAGGAGACTGTCAAATTGCCATCTCCCTTGATATTGTCCAACATAGACTTTTTTCTATATATTTTACTCATCTTGGTGATAATTCCCCTATGAGTTCCCAATATCTGCAAGGAGCTAGGATCATCTCTCTGCCAAGAAAACCACTGTCAGTACATGTAAAAATGGCATGGGGTCAGTGTAACTTCACGAGGGGGAAAGAATCAAGAGAACAATCCAAGGCTGATTCCTATGATGCCGAGATCAGACATGCCTCCTCTCTCTGCCATCTTTACCAATTCTGACACCAACTGTCCCTCCCACAGCACTTTCTACTTCTAGGATGGGTTCAATAATTCATTGCAGTGGTCACACAGAACTCACTGACAGTACTCACGATTATGGGCCTGATTAGGGAAAAGTAGTAGGTTACATTTTAGGCTCAGGAACACTCAGGATACAGTTCTTCCGTCAGGACAGCCTCTTCCCAGCCGTGCTTGCAGACACGCCTCTCCCTGGCCCTCTGCCTCTGCCCAAAGACACTCAACTTTCTTCCTGCATGGGCTGGGAAGCCCACTGCGTGGTCTTTCCTGCCACTGCTTCTCTTCTACTGCTTCTCTGCCACCGCTTCTCGCCATCTTCTGGGTTATAGCTCTCTCTATGTCTCCTGGGTCCTGGAGCTTCTCAGTGCAGGGATCCCGGGTCTTAAGGATGTGCTCTCCACTCTTGGCTGTTCTTGGTGGTGGTAGGATCCTCTCTTTCCTGCCTCTGGGGTGGCTCATTTCAAGCCCAGCAGGATGGCAAAACTGACCAATCCCTTTGGCGGTCTACAGTTAGCCTATTTGCACAGTCCCACCCAGTCACTTGAGTGGGAATTACAAGACCATGGCGAGAAAGGCCACATAAAAAGGATCCATTGTACCACAGTACATCTAAAATCCGAGCCATCCCAGTAGTTACCTTGAATGTTCCCTTCCTGCAGGGCTCTCTGCTTTAAAGGTCTGTGCTACTCCTGATAATTTCTTATCTGGAGAAAACATTTTTTAATACCCTACATTCTCAGTTCCCATATTATCCGGGTCATAATTCTTATATATTTCAATTTACTACCATTGTATGTTTACTAATTCTGATCATTTTCCTAGTTCATTGTAAATGTTATCACTGTATTCACTTCACTTCTTTGGGGAACTTCTTCAGTTCCAAAGCTTTAAATATGAGAATGGTTAAAACCTTGGTGTTCATCTTTTTAAAATGTATATTATACCTGAACATGATCTTTTTGTGTTCTCTGTGCTTAAATCATATTTATATACTGAAGTTTGTCTGTTTACTACCCCTAGTCTAGATTTTTCTCAAGATTTACACATTCTTCTGAGTTGTTCGTTTCTGTACTTGGATATGTCATGACCGTCTTAAAGTTGATATGCTTAAGAATGTTTGCTTGAACATTCTATTCTTCAGTGATATTCCTCACCTTATTACAAGACAGTACTACTCTATGGCTCAGTCCAGATACTTAACAGCAACGCTTGATTCCTCACTTTCCTTAACCAACCACAATGTCCCAACCCCAGCAGCAACAAATCCATCAGTAAGCCTCCTATTCCTCCAAAATGTATCCTCATTTCCTCCTTCTCTTCCCACACTCGCTTTCATACCACTTTTCACAATTTCTACCTACTTTTCTTTCTTATTGTGGTGGAAATACATACAACGAAACATACAGCAAGTCAACAATTTTTACATGTATAATTTAGTGACATTGATTACATTCTTCAAGTTGTGCAACTGTTCTCAGTATCTTTTTTCAAATTATCCCACTGCCAGGAACATACATTGGTAAAGACTTAATTATTTTTTGTTTTTATATCCTTGATTATTTTGTACATGTGAGATGATATAGTATTTGTCCTTTAGTGACTGCCTTATTTTGCTTGTTGTTGTTAGGCGCCGTCGAGTTGGTTCCAACTCATAGTGACCCTGTGTACAACAGAACAAAACATTACCCAGTCCTGCACCATCCTCACGATCATTGTTATGCTTAAGCCCATTGTCGCAGCCACTGTGTTAATCCATCTCATTGAGGGTTTTCCTCTTTTTCGTTGACCCTCTTCTTTACCAAGCATGATGTCCTTCTCCAGGGACTGATCCCTCCTGATAACATGTCCAAAGTGTGTGAGACATAGTCTCCCCATCCTTGCTTTTAAGGAGCATTCTGGTCATACTTCTTCCAAGACTGATTTGTTCATTCTTTTGGCAGTCCGTGGTATATTCGGTATTCTTCTCTAGCACCACAATTCAAAGGCATCAGTTTTTCTTCTGTCTTCCTTATTCATCATCCAGCTTTCACATGCATATGAGGCAATTGAAAACACCATGGCTTGGGTCAGGCGCACGTTAGTCTTCATGGTGACATCTTTGCTTTTCAGCACTTTGAAGAGGTCTTTTGCGTCAGACTTGCCCAATGCAATGCGTCATTTGATTTCTTGACTGCTGCTTCCGTGGGTGTTGATTGGGATCCAAGTAAAATGAAATACTTGACAGCTTCAGACTTTTCTCCATTTACCATGATGTTGCTTATTGGTCCAGTTGTGAAGACTTTTGTTTTCTTTATGTTGACATGTAATCCATACTGAAGGTTGTGGTCTTTGATCATCATCAGTAAGTGCTTCAAGTCCTTTTCACTTTCAGCAAGCAAGGTTGTGTCATCTGCATATTGCAGTTGTTAATGAGTCTTCCTGCAATCCTGATGCCCCTTTCTACTTCATATAGTCCAGCTTCTCTGATTGTTTGCTCAGCATACAGATTGCACAGGTATGGTGAAAGGATACAACCCTGACGCACGCCTTTCCTGACTTTAAACCATGCAGTATCCGCTTGTTCTGTTCAAATGACTGCCTCTTGATCTGTGTATAGGTTCCTCACGAGCACAATTAAGTGTTCTGGAATTTGCATTCTTCGTCATGTTATCCGTAATTTGTTATGATCCACATTCGCTTAGCATAGTGTTTTCTAGGTTCATCCATGTTGTGGCACACATCAGGACTTCATTGTACAGCTACTTCCTTTATGTCTTTCCTTGCTTATTTTAGTGATTTTCACACTTCAGTGTCTGCTTTGTAAACATAAGGAATATGTTTGTGTATCCCTAACACCTTTTACTATGCATATGTAAAAATTGTCACAAATGTAACATTCTGCATTCCTCACAAACCCAAATATTTCGGGTGTATAGTTGTCATTCAGTATGGTTTTGTGGAATAAATGAGTCTGTCCTTCACCAGTTTGGATCAGGTGGCCCTCTAGCCTTTGTGGTCTGCTGTTTACAGTGACTTGCTTGTATTTTACAGTATCTGAATATTTTGCAAGGCACTATTTAGGAAGCAGCCAAATCTGTATTTCTTCGTAATGTATTATCTAAACTTGTCTCTACACTATCTGCTATTACTGTTTGGGTTATTTATATTATTGTCTTTTTACCAGTCTTTAAGGAACATTAAGCTTTGACTTCTATTTTCAGTGACTATCGTAAGGTTGTCACTAAAGAGCCACCTCATATCAAGGCATTTTTAAATCACCTTTATTACTAATTGAGATCGTGGAAGGATTCATTATTTTCTTCTTTTGTAGAAATCTGGAAAGTTGACGATCATCTGCCTGAGCACCTGCAAAATGAAAGCAGGGTGAATAGATCGGAACAACGCCACAAACATAATACATGGGAAAATATTTTTCATCAGCACAGAAGTCATTTTCCTTTAAGGCAAAATCATAATATGTTTGACTTACATGAAAAATCTGTGAAATCAAATTTAACTTTAATCAACCAGAGTAGAAGCTATAAAGTAAAGAACTCTACTGAGTTTAATAGAGATGAAAAAACCTTTCTTCATGCTAACCATGAGCAATTTCATACTGAAATAAAATTTCCTGAGAGTCAAAAATCCAATAGCACTAAGTCTCAAGTCATTAAGCATCAGAACACTCACAAAACGGAGAAACTGCATGTATGTAGTGAATGTGGGAAAGCCTTCATCAGGAAGTCTTGGCTCATTAGTCATCAGATCATTCATACAGGAGAGAGACCCCATAGATGTTACCTATGTGGGGAAGCCTTCTTCAGAAAGTTTAAGCTTACTGAACATCAGAGAAAACATAGAGGAGAAAAACCTTTTGAGTGCACGGAATGTGGCAAAGCCTTTCTCAAGAAATCACAGCTCAATAGACATCAGAAAACTCATACAGGTGAGAAATGGTATAAATGCAGTGAGTGTGGAAAAGGCTACACCCGGAAGAGAAATCTCATTATTCATCAGCGAACTCATGCTGGAGAGAAGCCCTACATATGCAGTGAATGTGGAAAAGGCTTCATCCATAAGGGAAACCTCATTATTCATCAGCGAATTCATACTGGAGAGAAACTCTGCATATGTAGTCAGTGTGGAAAAGGCTTCATGCGGAAGGGAAATCTCATTATTCATCAGCGAATTCATACTGGAGAGAAACCCTATGTATGTAGTCAGTGTGGAAAAGGCTTCATAAAGAAGGGAGATTTCACTATTCATCAGCGAACTCACACTGGAGAGAAACCCTATACGTGCAGTGAATGTGGAAAAGGCTTCAGCCAGAAGGGAAATCTCATTATTCATCAGCGAATTCATAGTGGAGAGAAACCCTACATGTGCACTGAATGTGGAAAAGGCTTCATACAGAAAAGAGATTTCATTATTCATCAGCGAACTCATACTGGAGAGAAACCCTACACATGTGGTGAATGTGGAAAAGACTTCATCCGGAAACAGTATCTCATTATTCATCAGCGAATTCATAGTGGAGAAAAACCCTATGTATGCACTGAATGTGGAAAACGCTTCATACAGAAAAGAGATTTCATTATTCATCAGCGAACTCATACTGGAGAGAAACCCTATGTATGTGGTGAATGTGGAAAAGGCTTTGTCCGGAAGGGGCATCTCATTATTCATCAGCGAATTCATAGTGGAGAGAAACCTTACATATGCACGGAATGTGGAAAGGGCTTCATCCAGAAGCGAAATCTCATTGTTCATCAGCAAAGTCATAGTGGAGAGAAACCATACATATGCACTGAATGTGGGAAAGGTTTCATACAGAAGAGAGATTACATTATTCATCAGCGAATTCATACTGGGGAGAAACTCTGCGTATGCAGTGAATGTGGAAAAGCCTTCACCCGGAAGGGAAATCTCACTATTCATCAGCGAATTCATACTGGAGAGAAACCCTATGTATGTAGAGAATGTGGAAAAGGCTTCATCCAGAAGGGGAATCTCATTATTCATCAGCGAATTCATAGTGGAGAGAAACCCTATATATGCATTGAATGTGGAAAAGGCTTCAACCAGAAGGGAAGCCTCATTACTCATCAGCGAACTCATACTGGAGAGAAACCCTACATATGTGGTGAATGTGGTAAAGGCTTCAGAAAAAAGTCACACCTCATAACACATCAGAGATTTCACATAGGAAAGACTCACTTTATATGCAGTATCTGTGGGCAATCTTATTCCCAGGAGTCAAGTTTCATTGAACATCAAAAAATTCACACAGAAGAAAAACCCTTTCAATGCAGTGAATGTGGGCAAGCCTTCTCCATGAAGCAAACGCTCACTGTACATCAAAGATCTTATACAGGAGAGAGAATGTATGGCTGCAATGAGTGTGGAAAAATGTTTCCGTACATGTATAGTCTTGTTACACATAGCAGAATACATACAAGAAAGAAATGTGTAGACTCAGGCATAGTGAAAGACCCTTCCACAGTAAGTCACAGCTCATCACATACCAAATGATCTCATGCAGAATAAAAACCCTGTTAATACAATGACTATGCAAATGCCTTCTGTGGCTGCTCAGACATCAGTAAACATGAGTGGGCTTCCATCAAATAGGAACGTATTCCACGTAGGTCAGCCTGTTGCCAGATCTGAAACGTCAGGAGAGAACAGAATTTGTACTGCAGAGAAATCTTATGAATGCAATGAATATGGAAGTGCCTTCAGTGATCAATTACATCTCATTTTATGTCACAAAAAATGTGTAGAATAACCCCATATACATTTACTGGGGAATTGGGTTGAGCAAAAATTTTTACCTAATTGGCTATGAAACATATCCTTAGGGAAATTATATGAATGCAGAAACTGATACTTATTTTTCATAAATATGTTCATCGATATTGAGACATAATCTAATGTTAATCCAAACATGTACACATTGAGTGCTCTGTTGTGCAAGTTAAATGGATGAAAGTTTGAGTTCATCTTAGTGGAGGAAATAAGTACTGAATTTTTAAAACAAAAGATCATTAGTAGCTGGTATGTTATAGTTGAAAAACCACACAGGAGGTGGTTGGTGGGAAAGGGGCAACACTGAATTGCCGGGAATTGTGGCACATATATATCAGTTCAGTTTCCCTAGCTTAGCGTCAAGGATTCATTGAAAACCAGAATGTCTACCATAAACTTTTAGAACTTTATACTATACACAGTGATTTTTGAATCAGTAGCCTTATATGGAGTCTATTCATTAATGTAACACATACTTTCTTTGTCCATGGTCATCTTCAAGGTGTTGAGGATACAGTGGTTAATGAAAAAAAGTCCATGCCGTCTTGGAGAGAGCATTGAGTTGAATTATATTTAAGTGGAATCTGTACACTCTACTTTAGTCAGTGGATGGAATATCCACTGAGTAAAATTGACATGGAATAATTGGTACAAGTGGCTTAGTTATTATGTCCTAAAAAAGTCTTATGAATATTTCTTTAAAAAAAAAACAGTTGCCATCGAGTTGATTCTGACTCAGGGTGAGTCCATGTGTGTGAGTGTAGAATTGTGCTGCATAGCTTTGTTCATGGCTGATTTTTCAGAAGTCGATTTTCAGGCCTTCAAAGGTGTCTCGGTGGACTCAAACCTCCAACCTTTCAGGTTAGCAGCCAAGTATGTTAATCATTTTCGCTACCCACGGAATTCTGTGGTAAGGACTCCTTTTGATGTTAAACATGTTAGGATTCAAATAAGTTATTTTTTTTTAAAAATGCTCATGTCTCCCCAAGTAGATTATAAATGCCTTGATAGTTTTTTGTGACTACCCTTTCGTGCTCACGGGTACCTTTAGGAACCAAGTACTTTTTCTGCCTCTAAGGGTTTATTGGTAGGCTTTAGAACCACTTTGGTATGCGCTGTCGTCAGGGCAGAGACTTACATAACTTCGTAAAAAACAAGGAAGTAGGTCAGCCCTGCATTTGAGTGTTGGGAGGCATTCATGAGAGTGGATGCATCCTGAAGGAGTGCTTTTGTATCTTTGGGCTTCTGTACAGTGAGATAAATCTTGTAAGTATATTTACTATTTCTTTTGTGGTGTTGGGAAGGTATAGTCACCGGCATTCGGAAATGTTTTAAGTAAAGGAGTTATTTTCAGGGTCAAAACGTTGTAAGTGCTCGTTCGTGGTATACTTCCTGCTTAATGGTGTTGAAGTGCCGTTAGCATTTTTTCACCTTTTGATTTCCAAACAGCAAGATAAGGCTTGAAAGTTTATTTGCTATTTTGTGTATGTTGGGAAAGTGAGATTTCTGGTATTTGTTGATAGTGAAGTGGGTAAGACATTTCATGGCTCAAAGCAGTGTGAGTGCACGTTCATGATGTACTTTCTGCTCATTGGTGCCAGGAAGTGCTGCTTTCATTTTTCACCTGGGAAAGTGTGGGTTTTTTTTGCTGGCCCTGGAATGATTTTTTCCCGACACAGTCATCTTTTTTCAGAAATGGCTAAATACCTGTTAACTCATTGCTGTTGAGTTGATTCCGACTCATAGCGACCCTATAGGACAGAGTAGAACTGCCTCCATAGGGTTTCCAAGGAGCAGCTGGGGGATTTGAACTGCCAACCTTTTTGTTAGCAACCATAGCTCTTAACCACCGCGCCACCAGGGCTAAATACAGGCATAGCCTAATGGCTGAAGAAACTAGAGCTTTTTTGTTCTTTACCAAGTGATGATAATTCTGAGGATGAGTGTGACAAAAGTGTCTCAGAGGACAGTGGGAAAGATTCTGAGAAGAAATGTGACCAAGGTGCCTCAGAGGAGGCTACCTGTCCTGGGGAATCTGAAGCTTGTGAAGATATCAACAACAGTGAAATGGTATCAAAGGATGATGAATCAGTCAATGATGCAGAACAAAGGGGTCAACCAGAAGAAAACTAAGGGGAATGGTGTGAGGATGTCTTCTATTTTGAACAGATAACAAGCTCGCTTGAGCAAGATCCCAAAGTTTACCTGAGCATGACCCATGAAGAAACAGATTATTTTTTGTCTATCTTTACAGAAGAGCTATTTACAGAAGGAAATTATAAAGGACCAAACGAATCTGTATGTGACCTAGGAGTGCAGAAGATGATGTAGAGGACAAGAGATTAGAGTGACAAGTAAAAACTGGCATTCGACAACTGTAGAAGAGACAAAGACATTCATTGCTGTGCATATAATGATGGGTATATGTATCTTGGAGCCCTGGTGGCACAGTAGTTAAGAACTTGGCTGCTAACCAAAAGGTCAGAAGTTCAAACTCACCAGCCGCTCCTTGGAAACCCTATGGGGCAGTTCTACTCTTAGAGTTGCTGTGAGTCGGAATTGACAGCAGTGGGTTTGATTTTTTTTTTTTTTTATATATGTATCTTGCTGCAGATGAAACTGTATTGGTCCAATGACCCCATCTTTAGTGTTACTGCTGTGCCAGAACTTAAGTCTACATCAAGATTCAGGAACTGACTGAGAACATAGACTGCAATGACATTTCAAAAGCCGTGCCTGAAGGACAACCTGGCTACAACTGGCTTCACAAATTGCGCCCTATCATTGATGTCTCAACAGCTGCCTAAAGGAAGTGTATATGCCATCAAGTGTCATGGTGATTGATGAAAGCATAGTGCCATTCAAGGGCCATTCATCAATAAAGGAGTACATGCCAGTGAAGCCCATCAAGTTAGGGTACAAAGTGTGGTGCTTGGCTGACTCATGAACTGGCTTTGTAAGTAACTTTGAAATGTATTCTGGAAAAGCAGTGTAGACAATGACTCATCTCTTTCGCTCAGTGACACTGTTCTACTTGGACTATGTAACCCATACAACCATTTTCATAGGCTCATTGCCTTTGACAATTTCTTTTCCTCCTATTGATTAATGAAAACCATGCACGACAGGGAACTGCATGCTGTAGGCACACTGCGACCAAGTTGAAAGGGACTACCAGGAATGCTGAGGAGTAATGATAAATTACAGCAGGGAGAATCTATAAGTTTTATACAAAGGGATATGTGTCGGCAGTAAAGTGGCAGGACAATAAAACTGTGACAGTTTTGTCCATGTTCCACAATCCAAAGGACATCACTACTGTCAGAAGTAAAAATAAAGGTGATTCTTCCTCAGCAATCACATGCCCCAACGCAGTTGCAATTATGGGAGGAGTGGACCACTTTGACCAGAGGCATGAAAGGTATGCAATCAGAATGCACTCTTCCAGATCGTGGTATCTATTGCTGTATTTCCTTATTGACCTTGCCGTTGTAAACAGTTATAACGTGGAAGTGTAACAACAGGGGCAAATGTGACCAACAGTCCTTCAGGATTGCTGTCATTAGACAGTTTAGTGTGTCCTGGGAAACCAGCAGCAGAGGAATACTCTCCTGTCTTGTCAGGAACAAGCCTGGAGTTAATGGGGTGCCAAATGATGTCCGGTTCAGACAGGTTGGAAAGCATTTACCTGTCAAGACAACCAAAAGGCGATGCAGAGAGTGCAGCACTAAGAAGAAATGAACTTGAACAACAATTGTGTGCAGCAAGTGCAAAGTGCCTTTATGTGTCACCCCATGTTTTCAAATTTTTCACTAAAAAAAAAAATAGGTATGATAAAACAATCTTTACCCTGCCTTGCCCTGCCTTATTCCACCTATCCTACCTCTGGAGTCCAGTGGGACATACTGTATCCCACATAATATTTATAAAAATCCATCAGACATAAAATATTATCAACACTGAATGATTGAGCATGCATTCCATTAGTGAAAAAACATGACATCACCAAAAAATTACATTCAGTCACAAAATGGTTACATTTTAAAGTTAAAAAAATGAAAACAAATAGAATAAAAAATTCAGTTCCTTAATTTCACTAGTCACGTTTCACATGTTCAATAGCCTTGTGTGACTATTGCCTACAAATTTGGATGGCAGAAACAATGAGGAAGACTTTTCTAGCTCTTTATACGGCCGGAAAGTGTATACTGAAAGAAGTTGCCGTCATTGCCATCATCCCAGGAAGAGCACTGGCTTACATGATTGTATATTTCCCAGCAAACAAAAATAATTATGTATTGACTTGGAAAATGTATTAATGATCCCATAAACTAATAAAGGTTTGTTTTGTCGTTGAAGTAACCAAGCCACTGAAACGCACTTTACAGAATGGAACTGTCCTCTAGAAACATTTTCATGTGTTGTTAGCTCTAATAATAAAAAGGTGGCAGAACAGAAAAGAAGGATCCCCTAAATAAGTCAAATACAAAGCCAGGAAAGAAATTTAGTCTCTTAAGAATGGTTGAGCATATATGAAATGGGAGTAGGTGAGATCCTTTTGGGTTGTCTTTGAGGTAAACTCTTATATCACCCTTGGGAGTTGCCACTATTTCAAGACTTCTGGTCCTCTGTGACCTACTGAGTTGACATATGTGATTCTTATTATTTTTATCATTCCTTCTCACTTTGCCTGGAGTGGGGCTTCTGGCCTATCTCCTCTATCCAGAGTTTCTTTCCTTAATGCCATATAAGTTACAGCGAGTACGCTCATAGGAAAAGAGATGGAAATTTGCCATGCAGACCCTCTTTCAGAATTGTATTCTTGGTTGTTGGGTAATTTACTTCAGAAATATTTTCAAGCACCGTCACTGTAATAACCAGTTTTACACACTGGGGATACATTTGTGAAACAACTACATGAATAAGAATCAGCATAAAGCTGGTTCCTATGAGGGGGAGGTCAATTATATTCCCACATTTTATTGTTTCCATTGTTCTGACAACACCCGCTATGCCCGAGGCACTCTGTTGGGTTAATTTTCTCTAAAGTTTCACAGAGCTCACTTCCTGCATTTATGCTTATGTGTTTTATTAGAATAGTAACGAAACACAACCAGAAGTAACAGGATCCAACTCTTTAAGTTCAGCGTCAGGAAGAGGTACAAGGACGGGCAACCTCTGTAAAGGTTCCCTAAGCAAAGGGCACATACCTCTCTTGGCTATCAGGGCAGTTTACCAGCCTTTTGCCTTTTAGGTTACCAGGACAGGAGCACGTCTTTGTTGTACAGATACTTGAACCCCCAGTTGACCGTAGTTTTTTGTCTGTTTTTTAAACAAAGTGTTAAAGGTGTGCGACCGTATTCTTTTTTACTCTGCCTGTGGAAAGAAATTTAATCCGTGCCATGTTTCCTTTTGAAGCTCGAGACTCTGAAAATCTATCCATTTTCACAAGGGTCAAAGAGCCAGGAAGCGGGAGGGTTTCAGTTGCTTCTCTTCTTCCCGGCGGGCCCTGGCTACTGACCCAAAAGCTGACACTTTGCCTTCTGTACGGCTGGGATTCAAATATGGCCACTTTCAGAGAGACATGGCTTGTCGAGAAGGGCGCAGACATATTACCTTCAAAGACAATGCCGGAAATCCTACTGTTCGCGAGCCCACAAAACTGTCGAATCCTTGCCGGCCGCCGTAAGCGGCTTCCGGCTGAATAGTCAAAAAGTAGAAGCAGTTCCCGGAAGTAAATGCAACGTTTCGGAATTCCTAGTGGTTTGAGAGAGAAACAGGTCGGTGTGTGTTTTGTCCTTGAAGCAGGGCAAGTGGTATATGTATGTGAAATAGTGAGGACACATGGAGTTCCTGAGGGGAGCTCCAGGGTGGAGGTGTGTGAAGGGAAGCTGGTGGGAATCGCTGCCTTTGGGGTCAGTCAGGAGGGGTGCACCTGTGTACAACAATTAAGACTGTCCCAACTGTCAGGGTAGGGGGTCTTCGCGGATCTCTCTGCTTGTAAGGGGTGGAGGTGGTATTTACGATGAATGTGGTGTCTGGTTCGGTTTCGGCATTTAATATGTGGCTTAGTGAAGTTGGAGCCGGGGGTTATGAACATCATAGGGAGTATCTGGTGCAGGTTTCGCATTAATCCGGGATGGAGGTGGTCTGTGTCTGTGGTTCAGAGGCTTGTGAGGCCTGAAGCTTTGGAAGCCCAGGACCTGGCTGGTGGTTGAGCTGAGATTGGAAGCTAGGCTCCTGGGACAGAAGGCAGTATAGTGCTTGGGCAGTAGTCTGAAACTTGATTTAGATAATGTTTTTCTCCTCTAATCCATGGGCGGGCTAACTATACCCATCAGCCTATGGCTGCTTTCGCTCTGCAAAAGAAAGTAGAGTTGAGTCGTTGTGTCGCGGAGACCTTGTCACCAAAGCTTGACATGCATTTCCACTTTCTACTTTGCTAACAGAATTTCTATTTTGTTAATTATTTATCCTTTTGGACATATAACCCATATCCCAGTTTATTAGTAAGTCAGATATCCCAGTTTATTGTTAAGTTATGTGGGTCCAGTTTCAGTTCCCATTGCTAGTGATAGAATTGGCACAGAAAATGAGTTTAGGTTTATTGTGCAATTCTAGCCAAGTATGTATCTGAAAATCTGCTTTCTTTTACATAGGCAATACTTGAATCTTTTTTTCCATGCAGATTATCATATTGTCTGATAATAACCTTAATTTTCTTTCCCACTTTGTAATGTATCTATCTTTTGCTTTATCATGATGCATTGGCTCAGCTTTTCCATACAAAATAGGAGAGTGGGGTGGTATTAGGATTATAACATCTTTGTCTTGTTGCCTGCTCATAAAATTCACTTGCTGTAGTGTCTAAAGTTAGCATCTTTCCAGGACGTAGGATGATTAACATATAAATCCACCCAGAATTTCAAATTTAATGACCTAAAGAGGTTTTTATATTATTTCAAGACTAAAAAATGCCTGTTTTATCTGGGTCATATCTTGCATTAATACTTTATATTGCACCACTTCTCTCTCTTGTTCCATCTCTCTACAAATATGTATATTTTATTAGTTTTTTCAGAGAAGAAGCTTTTAGAATTGTTCAGCTTTTGTTTAGCTTTTCTAAGTTTATCTTTTTTAAAAAAATTGTACACCTTAGTTAATGTAAAGGCAATATACGTGTAACCAACCAATACCCAAGGCAAGAAATAGAACATTGCCAGCACCCAAGTAGTGTTCTGTGATCCCCTTCCTAATTATATCCCAGCCTCACACCCAGAGGTCATTACAACCCTGCTCTCAATAGCAAGCCCTTTTTGGCTTTTCTTTATAGTTTTACCATGTAGTTAATTATTCATAATCAGTGTAATTTATTTAAGTTTGCCTATGTTCAACTGAGGATCAGAGCATATATATAATTTTTTTCTTGTTTATTATAGCTTAAATGAAATTTACATTTCATGTTAGTCTCCCATACAAAAATTTATACATTCATTGTTATGTGACCCTAATTGCTTTCCCCACACTGTGACAGCACACTCCTCCTTTCCACCCCTGATTTCTCATGTCCATTCAACCATCTCCTAACCCTCTCTGTCTTCCCATCTCACCTCCGGATAGAAACTACCCATTTAGTCTCTTATATCTACCTGAGCTAAGAGGCACACTCCTCACGAGTATCAGTTTATGTTCCACAGTCCAGTCCAATCCTTGTCTGAAGAGTTGGCCTTGGAAATTTTTTTAGTTCTGGGCTGATAGAGAATCCGGGGCCATGCTTTCTTGGTTCCTCCAGTCTCAGTCAGACCATTAAGTCTGGTCTTCTTACCAGAATTTGAGTTCTGCACTCCACCTTTCTCCTCCATCTGGGACTATCTGTTGTGTTCCCTGTCAGGGCCGTCATTGGTGGTAGCTGGGCACCATCTAGTTCTTCTGGTCTCAGGCTGATGAAGTCTCTGGTTTATGTGGCCCCTTGTGTCTTTGGTGTTTTTTCATTCTCCCTTACCCCAGGTGGTTGGGACCAATTGATGCATCTTAGATGGCCGCTGGCAAGCTTTTAAGACCCCAGACGCCACTCACCAAAGTAGGATGCAGAATATTTTCTTAATAAGATTTGTTAGACCAATTGACCTAGATGTCTCCTGAAAGCATGGTCCCCAGACAGCTACCCTTACTACTCTGTCCCTCAAAATGTTTGATTGTATTCAGGACACTTCTTAGCTTTGGTTTAGTCCAGTTGTGCTGACTCCCCCTGTAGTGTGTGCTGTCCTTCCCTTCACCTAAGATAATTCTTATCTACTATTTAGTTACTAAATAACCCTCCTCCCCCCAACCCCGTAACTATCAAAGAATGTTTTCTTCTGTGTTTAAACCTTTTCTTGAGTTCTTATAATAGTGGTCTTATACAATATTTGTCCTTCTGTGACTAACTAAATTCACTCAGCATAATGCCCTCCAGCTTCCTCCATGTTGTAAGATGTTTCACGGCTTCATCGTTCTTTATTGTTGTGTAGTATTCCATTATGTGGATATACCATAATTTGTTTATCCATTTGTCTGTTGATGGGCACCTAAGTTGTTTCCATCTGTTTGCTATTGTGAACAGTGCTGCAATGAACATGGGTGTGCATATATCTACTCGTGTGATGGCTCTTATTTCTCTAGGATATATTCCAAGGAGCGGAATAGCTGGATCCTATGGTACTTCTATTTCTAGCTTTTTAAGGAAGCGTCCAAATTGATTTCCAAGTGGTTGTACCATTCTACATTGCCACCAATAGTGTATAAGTGTTCCAGTCTGTCCACAACCTCTCCAGCATTTATTATTTTGTGTTTTTTGGATTAATGCTAGCCTTATTGGGGTGAGATGATATCTCGTTGTAGTTTTGATCTGCATTTCTCTAATGGCTAATGATCGTGAGCATTTCTTCACGTGTCTTTTAGCCGCCTGAATATCTTCTTTGGTGAAGTACTTGTTCATATCCTTTACCCATTTTTTAATTGAGTTATTTGTCTTTTTATTGTTGCGGTTTTGCGGTATCTTGTAGATTTTAGAGATTAGATGCTGATTGGATTTGTCGTAGCCAAAATTTTTTTCCCAGTCTGTAGGTTGTCTTTTTACTCTTTTGGTGAAGTCTTTTGATGAACATAAATGTTTGATTTTTATGAGCTCCCACTTATCTAGTCTCTCTTCTGGTGCTTGTGCATTATTACTTATGGTTCATATTCTGTTTATGCCACGTATTAGGGCTCCTAGCGTTGTCCCTGTTTTTTCTTCCATGATCTTTATCGTTTTTGATTTTATATTTAAGTCTTTGATCCATTTTGAGTTAGTTTTTGTGCATGGTGTGAGGTATGGGTCTTGTTTCATTTTTTTGCAGATGGATATCCAGTTATGCCAGCACCATTTGTTAAAGAGACTGTCTCTCCCCAATTAACAGACTTTGGGCCTTTGTCAAATATCAGCTGCTCATAGGTGGATGAATTTATGTCTGGATTCTCAGTTCTGTTCCATTGGTCTATGTATCTGTTGTTGTACCAGTACCAGGCTGTTTTGACTACCGTGGAGGTATAATAGGTTCTAAAATCAAGTAGTGTGAGGCCTCCCACTTTGTTCTTCTTCTTGAGTAATGCTTTACTTATCCGGGGCCTGTATAATTCATTCTTTGTAGCAGGATTTGCTCAATATTTGTGAGAGTCATTCGTATTGTTACACAGAGGTGTATTTACTTTGCTCTGTAACAAGAGTTGGCAAACTTATTCTCTGAATGGATAGATAGGAAATATTTTAGGCTTTGCATGCCACCTAAGGACTCTCACATGATTCTTTGGTTTTTGTTTGTTTTGTTATTTACCATTCTTTAAGAATGTAAACAGCATTCTTTGCTTGCAGGTTTGCCAAGAGTTGTACATGCTGTATAACGTTCTGTTGTTTGAATTTTTAGCAGTTTTTTCTGCTATTATGTATACTTGAGTTGTTTGAAGTTTGGACTAACTACAAATAATGCTGCCATGAAAGTATTTGTACATGTCTTGTGGTTCTAATGTACTCTCATTGTGGGGGAGTATATACTTAGATAAATACCAGAAAGTTAAATTGTTATTTCAACGAGTATAACTTCAGGAAACCCTGGTGGTGTAGTGGTTAAGAGCTACAGCTGCTAACCAAACGGTCAGCAGTTTGAATCCATCAGGTGCTCCTTGGAAACTATGGGGCAGTTCTGCTCTGTCCTATAGGGTCGCTGTGAGTTGGAATCGACTCGATGGCAACAGGTTTGGGGTGTTTTTTTTTTTTTTTTTGGTAAAACTTCAACTGATAGGTGTTGCCTGTTTCCTAAAGTTGGTGTAGCATTTTACAGTTTCTCCAGCAGAATAGTCACCATTTTATAGTTAGTGCTTTATGTGGCTTACCTAAAATATCTTTCTATACCCTAATGTGATCTTATCTTCTTAAATCTTTATTGATATACGTTTCTCATTGAGAGTCACATTTGATTCCAAATTGATATTTGTGTATGTTGTGAGGTGGGGATTAACCTTATTTTTTTCCTGCCACGTGTATATTTGATTGTCCATGTACCATTTTTTGAAAAGATACCTTTTACCCTGTAAGAATGGTATGGTGGTGTCTTAGCCCCTCTAACTTCATGAAGGGGGAGAATCATGATCAGTATTAGCCCAAGAGTTATTCATATGAGGTGGAGGTCAGACATACCTCCACTCCAACCTTTTACCAGTTCTAACACCAGCAGTGCCTCCTGTAGCACTCTCTACTTCTCTGCTGGGTTCAATAATTTGTTGCTGTGGTGCGATGGATCACTTTTGTGTGGCCTTTTTTCACCATGGTCTTGTAACTCCCACCCAAGTGACTGAGTGGGACCATGCAAATAAGGTCTGTGGAATCATAACGAACAGATTGGTCAGTTTTGCTGAAGGCACTCAGCTCTCTTGCTCTGTAGGTTGGCATGCCATCTCGCTCTGTGGGCCAGGGAGCCCATGATGCTGTCTTGTCCTGCTCTCCTGGTTCTGTTGCTGCCTTTTCTCTGCCACACTTGCCAGTGCTTCTCACCGTCTCACACTGTCTCAGTATTATAGCTCTTTCTGTCTCCTGGGTCTAGGATGTTCTCAGCAGAGGGACCCTGAGTCCAAAGGACATGCTCTTTTCCTGGCTTTTCTTTCTTGATGGTAGTGATGTCTCCTTTCCACTTCTGGGATTCGGTCTTTTTAAGCCTAGGAGGTGACCAATCCCCTTGCTAGGGTTCACTACACCTTATTGGAATGATCCAACCCCTGCAGTGGTTCCATGCACGCTATTTGCATAATCAGCGGGCTGTCCTATACCCTTGGTGGTCCACAAGTACCTTCTTTGCATAGTCCCATGTTAAAATGGCAGGAGGGCTGTGGCGTCTGACCTCCTCTGCTTCACAAGGGGGAAGGAGAATCAAGATCAACAGCCCAAGGCTGATTTCTTGTCCTGGCATGAACCATTAACTTGAAATTTGTCTCTGAAAATAGTGGGTGCTGACAGACCAAAGAAAGAGGTAGGCAACTCCAGGGTGGCAGCAAAGGAGTTTCTTAGGGAGACTTACATACAAGGCGAGCCCTGGAGGGCAGCAGGACCAAAGCAGATCTCTGCATCCCACAGTCGGAGGACAGAGGTTTTATAGTGGTGGTGGACAGTAGTAGCTACAAGCCAGGAGTTTGCACAAGAACAACTCAGCAAATGGTAGTGAACTGGCAGACCACATGAGGGCACTCATGTTTGGCCTCACAAAGTCTTTTTCCTCTTCAGTCCACCCCTTGAGGTCAGCTCTTACAGTCTGGCATGCTTCCTTGTGTCATAGTATGAGAGACCCTGTTCCTTCCCGCTGGGAACAGATATAGAAATGGGATTGGCCAGGTGCCATATGGTGCCCATGTATGTGTAAGAGACAGAAAGTTATTGTGTGCCCAGAACAGGGGGAAGGTTTCTCTGATAAGGAGAAAGAACTGAAAGAGAGAAGGTGACACAATTCCCAGCCTTCTTATCAGAGAATGCTCTGGGCCCAAGGCCTTTACTTTGGCTGCCTGATGGGAGGCGTAGAGGAGGCAGACCATTCCCCCAGCATTCCTATGAGGCAGAGATCAGACATGCATCCTTTCACCACCATCTTCACCAGTTCTGACACTAACCGTCCCTCCCACGGCACTCTCTATTTCTCTGCTGGGTTCAATAATTCATTGCAATGGCCACACAGAACTCACAGATGATACTCACGATTATGGGGTTTCTTAGGGAAGTAACAGGTTACAATTCAGGTTCAGGAATGCTCAGGAAACAGTTCTTCTGTTAGGACAACCTCGTCTCAGCCATGCCCACAGGCATGCCTCTCTCTGGCCCCATGGCCTCTGCCCTGCTCAAACCGAGACCCATTGCCATCGAATCAATTCTGACTCATAGCAACTCTATAGGACAGAGTAGAACTGCCCCTTAGGGTTTCCGAGGAGTGCCTGGTGGATTCGAACTGCCTACCTTTTGGTTAGCAGCCAAACTCTTAACCTCTGTGCCACCAGGGTTTCCCTGCCCCGTTCAGGCAAATGTTAAAAAGTTCTTTTAGCTCTGCCAATAAGTGCCTTGAGGCTCCACTCCACCAGTAAGCCTAAGCCTGAAAGTAGCTTTGTGGGTAGGCAAACCTAGCTCCACCAAGTGTCCAGAGGCACCCTACTCCACCAGCAAGCCTCCTGCCCAAAGGCACTCAGCTTTCTTGTTCCATGGGCTGGGAAGCCAACTGCATCGTTGTCTGCTGGTGTCTCCTGCTGCCTTTTCTCTGCCACCACTTCTTGATGTCTTCAGTGTTAGAGCTCTCTCTCTCTAGGTCTCCTGGTTCCAGGAGCTTCTCCATGCAGAGATCCTGGGTCCAGAGGATGTGCTCCGCTCTTGGCTCTTCTTCCTTGGTTGTAGTGTTATCCTCTCCCTGCTCTGAAATGGGCTCTCTTTTAAGCCTAGCAGGATGGCAGAACTGACCAATCCCCTTGTTTGCACAGTTACACCCAATCACTTGGGTGGGAATTACAAGACATAGAAAGGCCACAGAAAAGCGATCCATCACACTGCAGGCACCCCTTGGCTTTTCTACCATGGTTCTTTCACACTTGGAGGATAGCTTCCCCTTCCCAATGATTTTACCAGTCCCAAACGGCCATTAACAGTCCTGTGGTAGGGCAAGAGAGTCCTAAGAGTGCAGTTACCCAGGTACCAGCCATTCAGGTCTGCTGCAGGTGTCCATCTGATATGGTCAGGTTCTCCAAAAGTCATCTTGGCTTCACCTTTCGTGGTGTCTGATAAAATTTAACTGAGAAGATTATTCCCTGTCTCTGAGCCTCATGAGGTATCAGAATAGCAAAACCTTTAAGGAACTTTAGCTTCGGCCGTTGTATTCCACTCCAGCAGTGCCTCCCCCTTAGTCCACTCTTTAACAGTTACAGATTCTACAATTAGGTTTAACAATTACAGTTAACCCTGTTAACAATCATTACAGCTGAATCATATCCTATCAGCATCTCCCTTACTGCCTCTTCCCAAACCCATCAGCAAAAGAGGACTCTATTCAGTGGGGATCCCCCTTTGTTCCCCTCATTTTAAGTCTATGCATGCCCATGAAAGTATGTAAGCTAGCCACTTCATGCCTTTATCTTCCCCTATTTTTGGTAGCCAATGTTTAAATTACCTGTCTCTATCAAACTAGTACTGAGGAGACAAGTTTGTTCCTTGGTCTTAAAGAGTCTCCTGTTCTGGTTGGAACTTTGAGTGCCTGCATCCATAAGCAAAGGCCAGTCTAGAGAAGTCATCAAATTATAGCAATCAACAGCAGCTCGCAGTGTAAAACATCTTTCTCTTCATTCGGTTGGGTTCTCGTCAACTCATTCCTAGCCATCCAAGCTAGGTCACAATGGGTAGCCCCTTCTCTCTCTCTCTATCATCCCCACAGCCCCTTGCCCTAGGTCAACGGGCTCCACCCATAAACTCAGGAGCCAACACAACTCCGTTTCTTACCAGCCAGCCCTTCCTAACCTAACCCCAATGGGCTAGATCAACAGTTGCCACTGGAACATGTCCAAACTCAGCCCGTCTCTTTCTTGCTGCACTTTTCCCACATCCACTCATGGGTGGACTCAGGTGGTTACTACAAGCGAGCATACCAAGCTATCTACTTGAAGGCTTCCTTTAAACTTCCAATCCTGGTAGAGGGTTTCTTCTGATGGGCACTGACCTTTCCTGCCTCGATGTACCCAAAGGCAAACTGTTTGTTGAAAATTAAAAAAGAAAACCATTCTTTTTTTTTTTTTTTCTCCTGCAGATCCTTCCTTCAAATCCAAAACTTCTGTTCTCTCAGCATTTCTGAAAAGGTTTGCATGTCTTTTGAAATGCAAAATATGAGTGGGGCTCAGGTTTGCACAGGGCTACTGCATTCAGACCAACAGCCTGTGTTTCTTTTGGGCAAATCCTAGTTCCCCTTTTAGCATATCCAATCAAATATTGGATGAAGGTGGAGTTACATGCTCTCTGTTATCTATAATACCCAGTATTCATTTCTATTATACATTTAGGTCTGCTTTACAACACTAGGTAGGAGAAGCATTCAATATCCATACCGTTACCATTACCCGTTGTCACGAGTCAATTCTGACTCATAACCCTATAGGACAGAGTAGAACTACCCCATAGAGTTTCTAAGGAGCACCTGGTGGATTTGAACTGCCAACCTTTTGGTTAGCAGCATAGCTCTTAACCACTACTCCACCAGCGTTTCTCCAATATCCATAGTACATTCAAATAAACACATAACTTTCTTTGAAAACATTCCAGTTGCATCTTCTCCACCCCTTGACTGTCTTCCCATTCTTATGCATATGGTCTTTGGCCTCTGGCTGGGTGGAGTCAGTACACCCTGGCCTCCTATCAGTCATCTTGCTTATCTGGCCTGGCTTTAGCCCCCAGGCCACTCCAGATGCTGCTTTTCTCCCACAATTACCTTATTTGCACAGTCTCATTCACTTGGGCAGGAGTTACAAGACCATGGCAAGAAAGGCCACACAAAAGTGATCCATTGCACTGCATTCCACGAAATCATTTTATGGGAGTCACAGAACCATAAATGGCTAGAAGACCATATTAAGTAATTCACTGTACTGCATACCCATAACACTGCGCATTCTGAATCTTAGGTTTTATTTCCTAGGGTTGTAAAAATTTTTGGGACACCAAATACAGGGATTGTCAGCTATATTGGGCACATCGTGTTCAGTGCCATGAGCAGTGATAGCATTTGGGCCCATAGATAGTGTATCACTCAATTCAGTTTTCCCTTTCAGCCCACAGGTCTTGACTCCCAAGTCCAAGAGAATCAATTGAAGGAAGGAGGAAGAAGCTGCAGGATTTTGGTATTGTCATTTCTGGGGAAACCCTTGACAGGAGACTGAGATTTTTGAACAGAAATTTAAAGCTGGTTCAGAAGATACAAAGAGCATCCCAATTTCTGGCTACTTGCTGAGAACAAAAAACAAAACAAAAATGATCAAGGCCCAGGTGACTTTTGGTTTGTTTTATTCTTTCCTTTGTTTTCTATTGTATTTGTAGAAGCCTGAAAAATATTTATTCAATTAATCTGAAAAGTATCAATTTGTAAAAGTAGGAGCTGGAGAGAAATAAACTTTGTCTCTGACTTTAACATCAGGCAAAGCAGGATCAGGAATATACTGTTCATAGGATTAACACTAAATTACTGATGTTGCAGCATAATATGTCAATGGCGGATCCTGTGGGTTATATTAGCTGTCAACTTACATTTAATATCTCTGGCCAATACAATGGAATCATTATAATTTATATGATACGCACTGATTTTGAGAAGAAAGTAGATCAGTTCCTCGGATGATTTCAATATTTTATGCTACTTTGGTCTGAATAAATTTCTTTGGTGGTTCTTCCTACAGGTGATTTAGTAGATGATGTCCTGAACAGCAGCATTCTCATACATGCAAAAGCAGGTTTCCTGTGGCTGTTTCTTCCAGGGTTTTTCATGCGACCCTTGTAGGAAGAGACCAAGCAAACTCAGTAGACAGAGGAGACCAATGCAAGTTGACCTATCAACTCAGCCTTGTGGTGGTCTGGGTTTATTTAGGAATTAGACCTGATCATCCTTGGAAAATGGAAGCATTACCCAGCTTTCTAATGGTTCTCAATGAACCTTTTTTTGAGTACAGATTTGGAAGTGGGGAGTTGAAAGTACTGTTGTTCGGTAATACCTGGGGCTGTTGGAATGTATGATTGACTTTAGAACTTCACCTCGTCTTAGAAAGTGCAGAGTTATTTCCCCTTGTTCAAATCCAATTCTTATTGTCCTTGTTAAAAAAAAAAGTCTTTATAGTTTTAAGTACACAGATGCCTCATAAATATATTTTAAATATAAAAGACTGAAATCATAACAAAATACATATCATAAAATATAAGTTCCTTCTTCATACACTTCCTTCCTAATTTGTTTTTTTAAAGGTTGGCAATGTTTACTTTCTGCATTGTGTGTGTGTGTGTATACCAATTATATTTTCACGTGAATGGAATCATATTCCAAAGACCATAGCAGCCGACATGAAAGGACTCTCTTTTGGACTAAGGTGGCACACTTTGAACCTCTAAAGAGAAATGACTGCAACTTATTGAGGAACATTTCTATGAGTCTGTAGTTATATCTGAAAAAAAATAACGTTGGGAGTTGGGAGACAACTAAGTATTTGATTTGAAAAATAATAATGGGGTGCAATCAAACGTATTCTTTTGTGTGTGGGGGGGAGGTGTAAAATGGGGATAGTAATAGTAGCATCAGAACCCGTCTAACTTCAGGGTAGATAATGTGAATCAAGATTAATACAAAGCTGATTCCCATGAGGTGGGGGGAATACATACCTCCACCTTGTAACCTTTTTACCAATTCTAACACCAGCCATCCCTCCCCTGACACTACTTTTCTTCTGTGTTTGGTATCGGTTGCAATGGACACATAGAACTCACAGACCATACTTACAGTTAAGTGGTTTATTAAGGAAGTTACAGGGTACAGCTCAGGATCAGGAAGCATGTAGGCATAGTCTCCCTTCTTCAGTGCAGGACAGCTCTCAGTTCCTCTCCACCATGCAGGCCTCCTCTCAGCCCCCTGAGAACAGGCCTCCTCTTGACACCCTGATCACAGGCTCCTCTTGGCCACCTCAAGACAGGGTCCTCTTGGCCCTGCTGTCTTTCACCACCAACTCTGCCACAGGGCCCCTTCTTGGCCTGTCACCACCAGCTCTGCTGCTGGCCCTCTTCCAGGCCTGTCACTGTCTTCAGTATACCACCCTTGACCTGTATTATAGCTATTTTAGGAGGTTGCTTGCCTCCTTTCTCTCTGCTGCTTCTCTTTTCTCCCTTGCCCTTTCTCCTTTCTGTTCATTCCTGCTTCCTGTCTTCCTGCTTTTTTCTGTCTGAAAACCTCTGAGGGATTGGCTGGTTGTATCTACAACTCCTTGTCAATTTCAAGGCATGGCCCTCCCACCAGGGCCACAAACTGACCAATTCCCTTTCAGTAGGCCACAGACACTTCATTTGCGTAGTCCAGAGTCACTGCATTTGCATAGTCTATTAAGCAATCCCTGCAAGGTGCATGCCTATCACAGGTCATGCTGCAGCCCAGGGCCAGAAAGTATCAAACCATCCTTGATTACAGCTAACCCAGAAAATGTCAGTCAACCTGAACAAAAGTAACAAACCTCTGAGATAGAAAACCAGGGCAAAGATAACTCCTAAGGGCTTAGGAGATATGAAAATGCTAAGGAGGCAGCATCAAACCTCCTCTGACATCACAAGGAGAAGGAGAATCAAGATCAACAGCCCAAGGCTAATTTCTATGAGGTGGAGGTCAGATATGCCTCCACCCTCCAACCTTTTTACCAATTCTGACATCAACCGTCCTTCCGAGGGCACTTTCTTCTTCTCTGCTGGGTTGGATAATTCATTGCAGTGACCACACAGAACTCACAGACCATACTCACAGTTATGAGGTTTATTAGGAAAGTAACAGGTGACAATTCAGGTTTAGGAATGCTCAGGATAGGATACAGTTCTTCGATAAGGACAGCATCTTCTCAGCCATGCCTGCAGACTGGACCCTTTCTTGCACTTGGCCTCTCAGCTAGTCTGCCCTGCTTGGGCAAGTGTTACAGAACTCTTTAGCTCTGCCAGTACATCCCGGGGGGGCACCCACTTTGCCAGTAAGCCTCAGCCCGAAGGCACTTAGCTCTCTCACTTCATGGGTCAGCAAGCCTAGCTCCGCCAACAAGTGGCTGGAGGCACCCCAATCCTTCAGGAAGCTTCCTGCCCAAAGGCTCTCAGCTCTCTCACTCAATGGGTTGGGAAGCTCACTACACCGTCTTGCACTGTCTCCTGGTTCTGCAGCTATGGCTTCTCACTGTGTCATATTGTCTCCGGTGTTAGAGCTTTCTCTGGCTCCTGGGTCTAGGAGATTCTCAGCATAGGGACCCCTGGTCCAAAGGATGTACTCTGCCCCCATCTCTTGGTGGTAGTGAGGCCTGCCATTTTCCACCTCTGGGATGGCTCATTTTAACCCTAAAGGGATGGCAAAACTGACCAATCCCCTTGTTAGGGTTCCATATAATTTGAATGGCCCCACTGCCACAAGAGCTCAGTGCACTTTATTTGCATTATTAGGAGGCTGTCCAATCCCCTTGGTGGGCCACAAGCACTTTATTTGCATAGTCCCACTCAGTCATTTGCTGGTAGTTAAACAAGACTGTGGCTAGAGAGGCCATATAAAAGTGATCCATCACACCACACACCATATATCTAAAAGATAACCAGTAATTTTCAAAGTAAAACAATCATTGGACTATTTTAGAATCTGCTTAGCTTAAGTCTTTTATTCAGCAAAAAGTGGTGATTTTTGAGTGTGTAGTTGTATCTTTGAATATTTCTTCTCCCTTCTATTTTCTCTTTCAGAAGTTAATAGATAGGATATGCTAGACATTCTCACTCTATCCATGTTTACTAATTTCTCATTTATGTTTTCTTGCTGTCTGCTACATTTTGAGTAGTTTTATCAATTATACATTTTATTTTACTAATTATCTGTTTGTTGTATTTTATATGCTATTAACCTATCTATTGATATACATACATAATGTGTGTATATATGTATATATGTGTGTATTAAATTTATTTTTCACAAATATTCCTAATTATTTTAGTCTCTTTTTCTTTAAGCATTCTTTAATAGTTTCTATTATTCCTTTCAGCATATTAAACATTCTTATTTAACGTGTACTTTTTCATAATTCTAGTATCTGAAGCTCCTTCAGTGTAGTTTCTGATACAGGTTTCCCCCGCTATCCGAAAATAGGGTGTTCCTGTGAAACCTTTTGTAAGCAGAAATGTCATAAAGTGAAGAAGCAGTTACCATTAATTTATATTGGAAAAAATTTTGAGTGTTCCCAGCTCCAAAAAGTAACCTACAAAATCATACCAAGTAACACATAAAACCTAAAATAACACTAACATATACTAAAAGCAGGAATGATATGATAAATACACAGCCTGTATAATTGTAGGAATAATGTATGTTCAGCTGCTTGATGCTAAGATGCTGAGTGTATTTCCCAGCAAAGGAGCTTGGCGACGCCACTCTCGATGGCCGGGGTGCGTGCTTTCTCTTTAATGGTTTTCTGCAAAAGAAACACTGAATGCTATTTCTGCTTTTCACTTTTTTTCGTAAAAGCGTAAATGAACAAATTCTTTATGAAGGATCATCACAAAGCTGGTTCCTATGAGGTGGAAGTTAAAGATGTCCCAAATGTCCAACTTTTCCAAACTGCTGTACCACTCCATCATCTCTAACCTCAACTCCTCCTCCTCTCCTCAGTACTCCGTCCCGTCTTGGGTTCTGTAATTTGCTGCAATGTCTCACAGAACTCACAAACTGTCAAGGAAATGACCCATGCAGTTGTGGAGGCTGGCAAGTCCCAAATACAGGAGTCGGGCATCGGGCTGGAGGCTTCTGACTTGTGGTTGTAGGGGCTGATGAGCCCAAATCAGCATGTCAGATGACAGGCTGCTGGCTCATAAGGCTGCAGAAGCTGGCATATTGGTCAGATGATAGGCTGCTGGCTCAAGTTCTAAGAACCAGAGGTCAGATGATAAGCCGGATGCAGGATCCAGAGGAAGAGAGAGAACTTTGAGTATTCATATATATATTTGATGCAGACCATACCCTCAAAAACACTCCCCTCACTTGAGTAAGGCACTTCTTGAATAAGGGTGGTAAGGGTGGTGACGGCGAAGGGTAGTGACTTGAGTCACCCTCTAGTAAGGTGGTGATTCAATACATCCCACCCTAATCCTGCCTCATTAACAGAATGGCAACTCACTTTCAAATGGGATCATAACCATAGGCATAAAGGCTAGGATTTATAACACATCACAAAATGGAGGATAATTAGATTACAAAATGAGGGACAATTACATCAGACCACAAAGTGGAG